TCAATTAAAAACTCAGAGTTCTGCTTCACGGATGACCGAGAGGAATCTACGGAATCCTCAAACCTGACAAAAATTGCAAAGTCAAAAGAAATTATATTAGGTGACAGGATTTCGTTTGTTCCTAAAATGGGATGTTTTGTTGTAATGGGGTCTACGGGACAATTATATACGGTTCAGGTCTTTCCAAAAGAAAAATGTTCCTGTCTTATTCCCAACAACTGCTGTCATATTATGTCGGTAAAATTATCGCTAAGAATGGATGTTGACACGTCAGAGCCTACAAAATCCGTAAACTTAACAGTTTTACGGAAAAATGCCCGTGGTAAAAAGAAGCCAGGTAGGAAGCAGCCAAGGCCTGGGGATGTTGAATATGAATATCCTGAAGATAGTGCTGGCAAAAAAGCAAAATTTGAAGTAGACGACCATTCCGTGACAGAGGAAACAGCTGATGTCCGTGATGTCCGTGCAAGTGTTGAATCCGTGGGTGTAACAATCACGGATGAATCACTTGGTCGGATTAATGGTACCGTAGATAACGGATGGCTCGACGATACCGTGATCGATGCTGCTCAAACTATTCTAAAAAAACAATTCCCCTTCATTGCCGGCTTTCAGCCTTGTGTCTATGCTGAAAAGCCGTGCTTTCGTCCAGTTGTTGACAATTTTATTCAAATTGTAAATACACACCCTAAAACTGGTGGTCAACACTGGATAATGTTTACAACTATGAATGTAAAATTTGCATCTTCGTGCGTTAAACTTTATGATAGCGCAATGTCAAACTCAATTTCATCAGCCGTTCAAATGAGCATTGCTAATATAATGCATTCTCCAGAGGAAAACATTACAGTTCACTTTATGAATTCTGATGTCCAGAAAAATGGCAACGACTGTGGACTGTATGCCATTGCAAATGCAGTAGAGATATGTTTCGGTGGACTTCCAGAGAATACTCATTTCCACACTGAAGCAATGAGGCCCCATTTAATGAAATGTATCACTGACGGAATTTTCCGTAAATTTCCGTCATCTCCGTGTAAACGCCAACAGTCAATAGAGTTTACATTTGATATGAAGTTGTTCTGCACGTGCAGAATGCCTGAACATGGATTCATGTTTAATTGCACTAAGTGTCGCCAGTGGTTTCATCCACGATGTCAAAATACAACACTTAGTGAAAAACAAATTAGAAAGTCTAAAACCATCAAATGTATGGATTGTAAGAGTTCATAAGTTTATCATATAAATCTTTGTTATTAAATATTGTAACATTTTCTCCCGATAAATAAATTCCGTGAATATTTATTCACTTGTTTTATTTTTATTTATAGATCTCACGGATTTTTTTAATGTACGGAGATGCACGGACAGATTTATCATCCGTACAAAAAACAATCCGTGATTTGTACTATTTTCTATATTTCCGTGCATCCGTGATTCCGTGACCTGTCCGTGTTTTGTAAACGGCGCACACTTACCCACTTAGTCAACATATTTCAGTTAGATATATTTGGTACCCATATACACACTTACCCACTTAGTCAACATCTACTACAGTGGAAACTGATATTTCGAGAAAAACTAAGGTAACATATAGGCACTACACCTGAAATTATGATTTACTTGAATTCCGAGATAAATAATTATTCCGAGATTAAATAATATCCTGTTCCTGTTAAAAGTTTGAGAAAGTTACCACCAATACCCTTTTTATTCAATTTGTATAAAAGTGCGGATCTCCATACAGTATCAAATGCTTTTGAAAAATCTACAAAACACACATATAAATTCTGTTTCTTTGCATAAAGATATTTGTTTACAAGTGTTTTTAATACAAATATATTGTCTTGGTCCTATGACCTTTTCTAAATCCAGATTGATATTGGCTTAGTAGGTTATTTGACTCAAGATAATTATCTAATAATAATATTGCACAGGGTGAGCGAACTGAATGCAAAATTCGCATCAACAACCTTTCATTCATTCATTCAAAAACTAAACACAATATATATATATATGCTATATTTTCCATTTAGTTTGTTATCAATAACCATGCAGACATGCACATCCTTGGCTAAATAAACAAACAAGATTGATTTTTAAGAAATCACTGTCTAGTTTTGCATAAATTATCCCATGTTTTACCACTTTGGTTGATGTCCCTGACATATTATTCTGACTAGACAGTGATTCCTTACATTTGCATTTCGTTGTGAAATGAAATTGTAGATTTAGATCTTAAAAATGTAGACATACATTCAAATTACACGAGGACTCCCATGCCAGTTTTAATAGTCCTCGCCCACTGCCGTCAAACACACAGGCAGCCGCCGCACGAGATTTACATGCACATTTGGCCTCCTTAGCGTCAGACACAGAGATGTGCAGATGCGCACGAGATTTGCATGCATATTAAGATTTCAACTCCGCTAGCTTTCAAAGAGTTATCACAGAGCAAAAAAAAAAAAAAAAAAAAAAAAAAAAATTATGGAAACTTTTAGTGTAATACTTAATGTATGTTCAGTAATAAGTGAGCAAATATAATGTTCGTAATCCAGTATTTTTAGAAGTTTGAGTGTCAGATTGCTCATCATATTAGATTTTTAAAGCCTTATTTTAGGGTCGGTTTTTGATAGACATCTATTACAAATATGTTTTATGTATTATCCCCTCTCTTCTGAAGATAGGTGAAGCAACATATTTCCTTACTTTATTGTGTACATTGCCGTTTTAATTAAAAAAGCAAATTTGCCTTTTAAATGAAACATTTCAAGTTTGTATCTAATACTGATAAAAAAAAATAAAACACATTAGATTCCCAATGTTTCTGGGTTTACTGATAACAGCACAGAATTGGCACTCTTAGAGAAAATAAAATCTATGTATTTATTAAGTCGAGTTTTCATTAAAAATATAATACATTTCTGTTAACAACCACATTGTTTCTCAACACTGTAGAGAAGGAATCTTTTCGAAAAATTTGTGTGGCCCTGATAAGGGCCGTTTTGTTTGAGTGGACTGCAAGTGTGCAGTTTATTTACTGCTTGTGTACTTGGTGACGGCCTTGGTTCCCTCAGATACAGCGTGCTTGGCCAATGGCTGGACAGTTCAATCCGCCTGCGTGTTTAAATAGCGCGGCGAAGGGTGTTTAGAGTTATTCGTTGATTTGAAATTTTGAGCTTGAACTACTCTTAATATTAAAACGGATCAAAGATGTCAGGACGTGGTAAAGGAGGCAAAGTGAAGGGAAAGGCCAAGAGCCGATCATCCCGTGCGGGACTGCAGTTTCCCGTGGGTCGTATCCACCGTCTGTTGAGGAAGGGCAACTACGCCGAGAGAGTGGGAGCCGGCGCCCCTGTGTATCTGGCCGCCGTTCTTGAATACTTGGCCGCCGAAGTCTTGGAGTTGGCAGGCAACGCCGCCCGCGACAACAAAAAGACCAGAATCATCCCCCGTCATCTGCAGCTGGCCATCCGCAACGACGAGGAATTGAACAAACTCCTGTCCGGCGTGACCATCGCCCAGGGTGGTGTCCTGCCCAACATCCAGGCCGTGCTGCTCCCCAAGAAGACCCAGAAGTCAGCCAGCAAGTAAAAAGTCTGTGTACGACTTGTATATACCAAACGGCCGTTTTCACGGCCACCCAAATTTTTCGAAAAGATGCCTCTAAGATCAGACGCCAAGAAACGAAACATGAATAATTTTATTGTAATAGTAAACACATAATACATGCCGTCACATAATGGAATTAAAATTCTATATATGAGTTTAATCTCATGAATGGACTACTATTGTTTAAGAAAACACACTTTACATACAAACGAGAAGAACTTCTGATAATTGCCAACAATTCTATTAAGTTCCCTATCCTAATAAGTACACAGTTTAACAGGTGTACATCAATTTTACATCATTACATCAATCCGTTGCCCTTGAAAAATAATTGAAATTGTCCAGTGTAATTTTTAAGGGAATAATTGGGCACAGAATTTAAGTAATTATTACGCCCTTTCCCTACATTCTTAAAACAAAGATAAAATGGGGTCACAGTTGAATATTTAACGTCGGCAAAATCTGCAAATCAATGAGTTTTGAATTTCTGAGTTTTAAACAATTAAATACAAATTAATCAATGTTTATACATTTATGTATATAAATACATGTATTTAAAGTAACATGTAAATCTTTCAGAATTATTGAACAATAGAGAGAAAAGACGTCCATCCTCATAAACTAAATCAGACGCACACGTATATCTACCATGTGAATTTTGTTTAATAATAGTAATAATTATAAAAATAAATAAATAAAAGTGATAAAAATCTTTTCTGACTACACTATAATTTGGACCGATATACCCCAGGTTATACCCCAGGTGAAAAGAAAAAAAAATCGTGTCATATATTTTGCTGCTTTCTAAATATATTGTCTTTGTGTTTTTTTACGGCCAAAATGATTATTAAATAAAATGATATTAAACAAAACAAGACATTTGCATGCATGTATGCTGTAAGTTATAGAATATCATCTGCTCACGGAGAACAGTTTTCCGTTTAAGACTGGGGCAATTCAATTTTAAAGTCGGACCTTTTATTAAATGTAAATCATCTCGTTAATTTATTTTCCTGTCTTTTCCTTTTGTTAATTTTTGTTCCCCTTTCCTTATATTGTTGCCTTCTGCAGTGAAATATGAATCAGAAAACCACGACAAAAATAAGGCTTTTGAATGAATCTCGATGTCATTATATATATTTCCATGCGTCTACTGTCTCACGTTTGGCACACTTTCTGTGTTGATTTCTCGCAGTTTGAGGGCGAATTGATAATAGCTGGAAGACTTGAAGATTCAAGGGGCATTTTTAAAGTTATCTCTTGAAATTTTTCACTTAAATCGTAACTGATAATCGTCGTTTCAAGCACATTTTTCAACTTTTATCGTACCAAGAAGTTCCGAGACAAAGGTTCAGATGCCCATTTTCCTGAATTTGAGCACAGTATTAAGAAAGAATTTAAGAATGTAAATAGATAACATGTTAAAGAGATGACTGCAGGTTAGGACTCTGCCTATATTTTGCGATCAAATCCATCTGCCGAGTTGCAGCGCGGATGCAAATACCCTTTTTGAAACACACGATACATGAACGTACATCGACCTCGGCGAACTGGATGTTTTCTCGGGGGTCCGCGCTCGGTGTAAACAAAAGCAGCAAGTGCGAGTGACCGAGCTATTTTCATTCCCAGCTGTTCCCGAGAAGTAAACCATTATCCCGAAGTAGCCATGGCAGATTCCGTTGCTCCAGCCAAGTCTCCAGCTAAGAAGAAGGCCACAAAGCCTAAAGTGCCTGCTGCACACCCCAAGTACATAGACATGATCAGCGCCGCCGTTTCAGCCCTGAAGGAACGCGGGGGCTCATCCAGACAGGCCATTCTCAAGTACATCATGGCCAACTACAAAGTGGGCAACGATGCTAATTTCGTCAACGCTCACCTGAAAATGGCCCTGAAGAATGGTGTTAAGAAGGGTGCTCTCAAGCAGGCTAAGGGTACAGGCGCCAGTGGCTCCTTCAAGCTTGGAGAAAAACCCAAGACCGAGAAGAAGCCTAAAGCCAAAAAGGTTGCCAAACCCAAGGCAGCTAAACCTAAGAAGACCGCTGCTAAGCCCAAGACACCCGCCGGTGAGAAGAAGGCCAAGACTCCTAAGAATAAGGCAGCAGCAGCAGCCAAGAAACCAGCCAGACCCAAGAAAGCCAAATCTCCCAAGAAGAAAGCGACACCCAAGTCCCCAAAGAAGGCTGCAACCAAACCCAAGAAGGCCAAGACTCCTAAGAAAACAGCAGCCAAGAAAACCAAGACACCCAAGAAGGCAGCAGCAAAGAAATAAGCAGTCTGAGCATCCCTGTCAGTCTGCATCCAAGCTTATAAAAAAAAGCCCTTTTCAGGGCTACCAAAATTTTCAGAAAAGATACCTCAGTTACAGTCGTTAGAAAATGTTTCAACGTGTACGCACAGTAATCCCTCCCCCCCCCCCCCCTCCCTTTTTTTAAATCACCATCACAAATTCTAATTTTGTTAAACAATTTCAAATGCAGCATGCCCTCTTGAACAACAACAAAATATAAGTAGTTGAATGTGTATATTCCTGTAAAAAGAGAGAGAGAGAGAAATTTCATGATGATAATATTAAAAACAGAGAGCATGACTCCCTATATCAATGCATTAAATGCAGATATGATTTTATTTTTATCATACATGTAGACATGATAGCAATGTAATTTCATTCCAAATTCAGCATTCATTGTATGATTTTTACTCAATTTAATTTTTTTCCCCCATTTCCTTTATTCAAGGCTAGCTCTTTCATCAATTTGAAAATGAAATGATGACTTGTGCAAGGACTCTTATTAAAATTTATTTTTGAAATGCAATAACATTTAATGCATCTGTCGGACACTCTGTACATGATCACAAGCCTCTTGTGTTGTAGATATAACACATGAAACACATGAAGCTGTTTACAAAATTCCTTTCCCCTGAACAGGTTCTTATAAGTGCAGGATATGATTATATCTTTAAAAGTCGTGGAAGAAAAGAAAGAAGACGCACACACACACACAAAGTGAAACCTAGTTCATTAAATATTCAACTTAATACATATACAGTCTGTATAACCTCTTTTTATAAAACACTGATTCTTGGATAAAGGATAGAAAATAATAAGTAATATTAATGAATAAAATCCTTTTTGATAAGCATTAATTTTATCAAAATAGAAAGGTTTGTGTTTGTTGATACATTAAATGAGACATTTTTAGGATGAAAACTACTGCTCTGTGGGGAAAAGCAGGTAATCCAACAACAAAATGATAATTATAAAATAATTATAAAATATAATAAAATAAGAATTAAAAATAAATAATTAAATATTAATAAATAGATACAAAAACACGGAAGAGTATATCTTTTATTTCAATCATTTGAATTATCATTTGAAATCTTAGCTGCACACCTTGTCCAGTGTCATAAAAACATTGAACTGTCATAATACAGTGATTTAAAGAAGCACAAAATTCTGTGCAAAATGTGGATCGAAATGATTTCAGCAAAGACCAATCGAAACACGCTGTGCTTAGCTAATCACAAGGTGCCTTGTATAAGTGGAACAATAACTCTGGGTAGAGATTGCAGTTCTTTGGTCGCAAATACCCCCCATTGTAATGCAATCCATGCATTTTGTTTGTTGTTTACGTCTTATTTTGTTGAGTTTCGGTGTATAAAATATGTCACAGAGCATTGTGTTTTTGAACCGCTCTATTATGATGTCACAATAAGCTTTCACTCAAGTTAATTCTTGATTCACTGCTTCAAACATCTGTGCATTAGCTAAGCAAAATGTGTTTTACAAAACAATTGCATTAGAATATGGTTTTCAATGAGATATGTGGGGATAAAATAAAATTGTAACTCACTTATGCCCATGCATCTAAGACAATCAGGAAAACCTGGCACATTTTTACACCAATATGTAAAGAATCAGTGTTACACCCCTAACAGTTCAGCAGAGAGTTCACTCATTAGAGTCTATCATTTTGATGATTCACAGAATTTCTCGACTGGAAATGTTAAATCTCACCTCCGAGTAATGTTGGAGTGACATTAAATTGTCGTAAGTATGCTACAATTACAACAATCATGTATTTCCAAGTACATTTTGTTTTTCAATTGCTTACTGAAATCATAACAGGAAAACTCTGTCTCAGTTTTATTGAATAATAGTCTCAGGTAACAAGGACACATGTTAATGGTGTTGGATTTTTTTATTCATAAAAATATGTATGTATATATGAAAAGCGGGACAATGTTTTCCAGGGAACGAATTCATTCCTGTTAAATAAATTGGTGCTACATTTTATTACATAAACCATAATTTCACATTCAAGGAAAACCATCTACTTAAAAAAAAAATCTGGCAAAATATCAGTTATACAGATCTATAATAAATACAACATTCACTTTTATAAATAAAAGCACTTCTAGCTACAAATGTAAAAACATCTATCACAGCTTCTCATTTTATCATGTTCACACACAAGACATTGGTCCAAAGAGTAAAAAAATTCTTGGAATATTCTGATATTATACACATCAGCTTCCCATGTGAAGCAATATAATACTGCACAAATGCTATGCTGCCATACTTAGAATATTCAACATGGCATTTAACCTCACATAAATTTGTTGCTACCTATTATTTTTTGTTTAAATTGTAAATAAAAAAGATCTTTATAAATACAATGTTCAAAAGCAAATATATAAATGGACGGCAAAAGAAGGAGAAGTGTTGAACACTAATAAATTCTACATAAAATATTTTCCGAGACAAAAAAATTGTATATGAAATTTTTTCTGTAAATAATACATCTTATGACTGGCAGCTATATCAGCTGGAGTTCATTCACGAATTTTACTGTGATCTTGTTATAATAAATTATGCCTTCTCTACACACACAAACACATTCAAGACAAAACCTCTCCTACAATGGTGGCTATACTGAAACGTTGCATAGAGGTACCACTGATAACTACTATCCTCTGGGACTAGGTCTAATGGACGGTAAACTGTGAGTTAACACACATGTAATATAGCATCGTAAAACTATCGAGGTTTGGGGGACTGGCTAATGGTTGAGCGGGCCTTGCCCAGTTGCCCAGAAAGTTCACGTACTTTGTCTGCCCAGTATTCACTGCTTTGCTGCAACTGGATGGAAAGCTGAAAATAATATACAGAAATGATGTTATGATATGTTAATTGCAATTAAACCAATGTAATCAGGTACTTTATTTCCCAGAGAGGATTCAAAATGACATTTGAGATAAGTGTTAAAAAAACATGTACCGCAATTTTTAATCCTATTACAAAGTAGGCAAGTTGTTAGCTCCTTTTGAAAATTGTCAATTAATCACATTGATAGGCATCCTCATTTCAAACTGATGTACGCTGTTATATTTTAAATGAACACTATAGTGTTAAGCTACATTTTATTCATTAGTTTAAGCCCTTGGTCCACTCCTTGGACTTTTTAGCATTTAGAAATTAGATCACACATCACTGACAACAAAATACCTACACTTCATCTAATGACTGTCTGGGTATCTCTGCAGGAATACGTACATTTTAATTTTTAAAATAATGTTTTTATTGAATTTGTGTTTCACATTTCTTTCTTCAAGAACTAAGAAACTAAGGGTAAAATTGTATCCTAGAATGTTAAAAAATTTGGGAACTCCTTTATATTTTTGATGGAGTGTCATTTCATGATAAAATATCATTTACGACTCTCACCTCGCCCACTCTCTGGATCCAGTAATTCTTGTCTAAAGCGTGCGGATCAGATATCCCAGCATCCTCTAGTCCTTTACCATATGCTCTTTGCTGTAACAAATCAAAACTCTCACATAGAATATAATACAAAGCTTGGATGGGGAGTATTTTAATGATATACTTAAGATAAAATGAATGTGTCAAAAATGTGCTAATGATGATCTTGAAATCTAAGATAAATCAGTAAAATTTATTGATAATTTCTTACAAAAAAAATATTCATAAAATAATAAGAATGCAGTCATGAGTAATTTCTATATTAAAAGATATGATGCAAAAAAAAACGGTGTGCAAATCTATAACCAGTGTGATCTTCTTTTTCTTACTTCTTCCAAAAAACAAAATGCAATTGATAATGAAAAATGCAGTAAATGGAATATCTGCAATGAAGTATATAAGGTGCTGTACATGCATATACATGTGTTCCTATTAAGCAGATGTAAGCATCACCATTTAGTTTCATTTGAATAAATGTCACTCTAAGGGGATAAAAATTTTATTTTTAAATTACATGCATCATTATTTTACAATTTATATGTATCTCAAATCAAAATGGAAAATTTCTTGCTAGAAGATCAATTCTGGTTTGCTACTGATATTAAGAATACTTCTATTTAAAACTAGAAATTGTCATATTCTCATAGTATAAATGTACTGTACAGATGTTTATGTGATGTGCATGAATTATCTACCTTTGTACAGTGTTTTTGAAGTGCTGCAAATTCACTTTCAATCACTTTTTGTTTATGTTTAAGGATAATTGTACTTTTGTCTGACACTATAAATTTAATTGAGTACCGGTAGATCAAAATTGAAGTTATTTTGTAACATTTAGTCTTTACTTGAAATTTTGAAACTTTTGAAAATTACTGTGTACCATATTGGGAAGTTTGCAAATAGAATTGACAAGACACAGTAAGTTTACAGCACTGATGCACTTTGCATGCATATAATGATTATATTCTGATTATTTCATGTAAGTAATGAAAGACTCTTAATATCTGGACACTATCAGCATCTAAAAATTTTCATTGCAATGAAAAAGGACAAAATTTAAAAAAAAATCAAGGAATAAATTTTATAAGAAATATTTTCGTTTTAATGTACAAATCTGCTAGTTTAAATTTGTGAAGAAAAAAATTCCATCTTCAAATGATTCTTAGTAAAATTTTGCATAAAAAGTCCTTTTTCATAGCAAATTAATCTACTCTACCAAAGCCATGTATATAGGTAGGATATATGCTCAGGTCTGTCATATATGATACCTTGTCAATAACTCCTCCCCTCAATATTTTGTCTTTTTTATCATCCTGAAAACATTCACACAAAACATCTAACCCTAGCCTATTTAAAACACTAACAAGATCAAGATCACACACACAGCTGCTACAAGCTCTACCCATAATGCTTTGCATCATCACATCACAAACAGGCCAAATGATAAATTAAGAATAAAAATAATTCACCTTTGAAAAATGAATGCATAGAATGCATAGTGAGTCATGTGTACATTTAAAGTAAAGCTTGCAGCATAATTAATTCTTTAAATGTTAATTAACCGATGCCTCTAAATTAATAATTTTTCTTTGTCAATGGTACCTAATTTACTTAAAACATTGTTACTTGGGAAAACAAACAATAAGCAAAGACAATGACATAGCAATGCAGAATTCACGCTGTCTTACAGGGCTAACGACGCGGGCCTTGCGTTTGGGGGTTCGCTTACTAACGTCACTTCTCTGATGACAGAATCACATGTCACATTAAATTTCATACATAATGAAAAGAAATCCTTTTTAATACTAGTCTATGGCTTAAATTTATTTTCATGTAATTAGAAAAATCTCTAAAAACATAAACCTTTTACGAGTGCGCAAGTGAATAATTCAAAAGCTCTGTGAATGAATGTTGAAAATGACAGGTGACTTTTAACAACTGTGATTTATATACTTACAGGTTTATCGAAGTCCTTGAGTGGTGAGCTGTTTTCGATAAGGAGGTGTCGTTTTGCGTCCAGCTGGGACTTTAGACTACTGATTGTCTGGTCCTTGCTTTCCACCTGTAATTCTAACGTCTGCCGGGAGGAAATCTCACGGTCAAGGTCATTTCTTAGACGGTGGTTCTCTTTTTGTAAGGTACTTAGCTGAAAATGATTGGAAAAATTATAAAATGGTTTTACCATTCTTTTTATTGATGGAAGTAAAAATAACCATCATAATACAGTCAAACCTTGCTTTCTCAAACTTCCAGAAATCAAACAAGGTTAAAAAAAAACCCAAAGACTACGGTGTTGGGACTACCATCACCCTAGTTTTCAAGACATCAGTGTTCAGGATAGCCAAGTTCAACTGTATCAAATTGGATTTGTAAAACTTTGTAGATCATCTCTATACAACACTATTTTATGTGTGTATACCTGCTGATTTAGCTGTTGAATGTTGTCTATATTCAGTTTCAGTCTAGAGTGAAGATCTTCTATTGTCGCTATTTTACTCTGTACTTCTTGATCCTGATCATGTCTGAAATTGAAATCATTTCTTTAGAATAAAAAAAAAAACAGCCAATTTTAAAACTTCATTTAGAAGAACTACAGTTGAAATAGCCTTTAAATATCTTTTTATAAATATCAAGGTGTGAAAAAAAAACCAATCTTACTCGTGATCCTCCAGTCTGGATCTCAGCTGATTCAGAATAACCTGCTGATGTGAGGAATGGTTCTGTAGGGCCTGAAATTGAAGAGCAGAAGGTGTAAAATTATATTTCTTCAATTATTAATTTGCATCTTGATTTGCATTCAGAAGTTAAGTTTAGCTTTGTACCTTAAACCTGTCTGATTCGTCTCGCCTCTCTTCTAGTTCTATCTTCATTTTGTTGCTCTGTTTCTGTAGCTGTGCAACTTGGTCAAGCAATTGCCTACAAGGGAAAAAAAAAAACATTTTCTCAAATTTTGTCAAGTTATTTATTTTAACATTCATTAGAAAGGAAATCTCTTCCTAAATAAACTTTTTGTGTGCAAAATCTACTTACTCTTTTTCTGATGTTAGTGTCATAATAGCTTTGCTTTGTTCCCTGGGATTAAAAAAAGAATACATATAAACAAATGACAAATATTATGCTTTATATGGCATTTAACTGAAACCTGTCATATGATATAGATTTAAACTATGCAAAAAATCATGCCAAATGCATTCCATTAGGCATTTAAGTCCACTGAAGATAAATTAACTTTTACAACGTGCAGAAAAAATAATCATTAAAGCAAGATATATTCTTGAATTAAAAGCACTTTTTCTCAATTTAATGCAATCAAGTATTTTCAACATTCATATGTATTTGTTTACCTAATCTTGTTGCCCAGTTTCTCATTTGCAAGCCTGTAAATTATAAAGCAATTCAAACACATGCAATAAACATTTCAAAATGCATATTGTTATAGAATTTTAAAGCAAAGCATGCAATGCATTTCTTTAATATGTCAACAGGAAGAAAATTAATTCAATGATGAATTTGAACATTCCAAAAAACTGAACGATAAAAGTTTCCTTTCTCGATCTTACTTTTGTTCCTGCACCCATGTGTTGACGTTCTGAACCACCAGTTCACTCTCTTTGTGGAGACGGTCCCCGTTTGACCTTGACTCCTCCAGAGCATTACGCAGGGACTGAATCTCCTCCCCAGAACAGTGATAGTTATACTGTATGAAGTCATGATCATTCTTCAATTTGTCAAACTGAAAAATACACCATCAAATTAAACATATTATATGGTCCAGAAATATGCACATTTAAAAATATATTGGAAGCTTTAAAATGAAAATTATTCATCTCTCTGTAACACTGTAGAAGAAGAAGAAAATACAAGAGGATATTTACCGCATCTAATTTGGCTTTGAACTTTTCTTGCAGATTGCTCAGTTCTATTTTGAGGACCACTATTTCTTCCTCCCTGGCAGAGAGTTCCTGTAAACTCTGGCGACTTTTGTCCTGGGTGTTCATCAGCTCTTGCTGCATATCTTGGTATTTCATCTCAAAGGCTCGCATCTGTAATGAATATCAAATTTTTTAATTCCATAAAATATATACGTCAAGGGATGTTTTAGCTAGCAAACATATAATAAATGAAAACTTGTTTACAAGATTTCTTTTTTATTATATTTTTTAATGTCATCCATAATGTCCCCTTAAACATTTAAAAAATCTGTTATTGTGAGTAATTTACCTCATCATCTGCAGCTTTATTCATCTCCTGCAGCTTCTTACATTCTCCACTCATCATCCTCATCTTCTCCTCAAATGCACA